AAAAAAACCTAACCTAACCTAACCTACTACAATAATCTACATTTATCTTCAATAGAGAATGCAGAATAAATGCAGATGCGTTGTCACTCCTAAGGACTGAGAAGGAATGCCTTGTTTCCAGTAAAAAGGGTCTCCGGTTCTCTACACTCACTATACGAAACACAGGAGCGTTAAGCTGCTATTTTACGCTGGTATTCTGTGAGAGTGTGGTCTTACCCCGATTGAACCGACCCACTGGTGCTACAACTATACTACCAATATAACTACAGCATGGCTCTACCACATATAAAATTTTAAATACAAAGCTTTTTGTCATCAGGTACTTATATATAAAAATAATATCTTGTTAACTAACATAAGACCATTGCAAATAAAAAGTCAGACTACTTGTACATAGTCAAATATTGTGTATGTAAATCCATAATTATTGGGCTTGGGTGTTGGCGATAGATCATCCTTGATTACGAATCAAAATGCAGATGCGTTGTCACCCGTGAGGACTAAGATGGAATACCTCGTTTCCAGTAAAAAGGGTCTCCGGTCTCTACACTCACCATACCAAAACGCAGCAGCGTTAAGCTTCTATTTCACGTTGGTATTCTGTGAGAGCGTGGTCCTACCCCGGTCGAGCCGACCTATTCGTGCTACAACTACTAATATAATTGCAGCATGGCTCTACCACGTATGATTAATTATTGATATTTTTTAATAAAAATATTTTTTTATTTAACATAGGGGCAGAGATAACAAAATTTTAACGGAATATGGAAATGTATAGTTTATTGACATTGAAGGTAACAGTTTTATCTCATATCTCTTATTATTGAAAATATTCTTCTGATTCCGAACGATGAATGAACAGGTTTTGTTGGCTTTAATAGTGTTTCCAATATAAATTATTACTTAACCCTTGTTTACTCGCACGACGAATAATACATAACTACTCGCATGGGGTCTCCGGTGACCCCATATTATAGGCGTTATTTTAAGTATATAAAATATAAATAAGTAAATAAAACTTTTTCTGTGACTAAGCGCTTTATTTGTTCTTTAATATTTCAGAAATAACGTGACTTATTATAATAATCAAACAAAAGCAAACGAGTTCAAATAATTATCAAAAATCAACAGTTTTTACTTATTTTGAGATCAAAGTTAAAAAATTAATAATTTTTAGGAAGTCTCTGAATCAATTTTATCACAATGTTGGCAGTTGATCGTTGCACACAATTTTTTTTGCATTTTGTTGATACTTTTCGGTCGCTTTTCCGAGGACAGTTGTTACAACGCCCTCGCTTCGTTGTCGATGGCGGAGCGCTGTTTTCCAAGTCATGAATTTCCATAAGACGTGTTTTTACAATCTTAGGAGTTGCACTGACTTCTAGTCGTCGTTTTTGGTGTATTAGAACGAGTTCAGAAGCCAATTGCCGCAAAAAATGACGCCTGACGTGCGTGCGTAAGTTGCTAGTATTCGCTCTATGTACAACGAAAGTGTTTATGCCTGTTATATTTATGAGATGGAAGAAAATGGCTAGTGGCCATCGTTTAGTTCGCCTTCCTACGCTGTAAATACCACACAACTGATCATTAGTGTCCACTCCTCCTTTGGTGCTATTATAATACGTTATTATTTCAGGCTTTTGCTCATCTCTTGATGTTGGGTCGATATCAGCTGTGTGATGCATGGAAGACAACAACACAACTGCTTTATTTGTTTTCGGCACGTAAGAAACCATGGTCATTGATTTTTGAAAACCGAAAAGGGAGCTGAATTGAGTTCTTGTTTTGTTTGGCAGAAAATCTTTAGGAATGTCAGGTTTATTTTTCTTAAGAGTTCCAACTAGGGTGAGCTTGTAAGGTGGATCCAACAATTCATTTGCAAGTTTCACGCTTGTGTACCAATTGTCAGTGGTAATATTACGGCAGCTTCCCTTTATTGGCACTACAAGACGTTTTACTATGTCATTAGGACTGTTTGAGACTTGGTAAGGACCCGCAGGTTGTTTTCCGGAATAAATTTCAAAAGCTAACAAATAATAAGTTTTTGAATCTACTAATGCCTTGTTTTTTATGCCGTATTTATTTGGTTTGCTTGGCATGTAAACTTTGCCTTTGAAACGGCCACGGATTCCAATCAATTGCTCATCTATTGTCACATTTTCGCTCGGCGAATAGGCTTCTTGAAATTTTGCTTGCAACATATCGCATATCTAACGTATAGGTGCTAAGTAATCAAATTGTAGTCGTTCAGCTCTTGTTGTTCTATCGTCAAACTATGACATCGTAGTAAAAATAAAAAACGTTGATAATTCATTGTCAGGCGAAACATCTCTATACCGGTTCCGTCGGTGGCCCAAAGATCTAAGAAATTGAGATGAGAGGCTCTCAATAGTCCAGACATAATCAACAAACCTAGAAAACCTTTTATTTCTTTAATATCAGTGTCTTTTGCATCACGTTCTCTTTGAAACTTATCTTTTTTTTATAGAATAGGCTGACAAACGAGCACACAGTCCACCTGATGGTAAGTGGTTACTGCGGCCCATAGACATCTACATCTATCTTCCATTACAAATCAAAATGCACATGCGTTGTCACCCGTGAGGACTGAGATGGAATGCCTCATTTTCAGTAAAAAGGGTCTCCGGTTCTCTACACTCACCATACGAAATACAGCAGCATTAAGCTACTATTTCACGCTGGTATTCTGTGATAGCGTGGTCCTTCCCCGGTCGAGCCGACCCATTCGTGCTACAACTATACTACTAATATAACTGCAGCATGGCTCTACCACGTAGACTATTTGTATTCTAGTAGCGATCAAGTCACTCCCGTGACTTGATCGCTACTAGAATACAAGCTTCGGCGCGTGTTACGAAGTTAGCGGGGGCGGGGGGAACATCAGACCACGGCAAGTATTACTTTCTAGAACATGAAAATGCTATGACCCCATGCGAGTAACTAAGGGTTAATCAATACAAACATAAACATTTAAAAGCAATAAATAAGGAAAAAATAACATTTTGATAAGAAATTAAAATTATTAACTATTAACTAAAATTATTTAGTAAAGACACTACAATATTCATTAACTTTTTTCAGGTGGATCGCTCATAACAAATCTGTATGTCATGCAGGCTGAAAGCTTGCGGAACTATAACTAATGATAATAGAAACATCCAAATGCAGTCTATAGATACTGAATCTGATCATAGAAAATGTCCTTCTGATCAAGTTATTTTGACGTTAATAATGTTTGGTACTTATACTTACTAATCAAAATGATAAATACAATTGAAATTATACATGTGTTTTTGTTATCCTTACATAACCAGTTTAAAACATTGTTTGGTACTTTGTTCTGAAGGAAACACTGGAGACGTTTTGGTTTGGTAAATGTATTTGCTCTCGCGCACCTTTGTGACACTTTTTAATTGTAATGTGTAATGTAATGTGCCGCCTTTCCGTGTCGATAAAGTAAGCAGCACAGATGTAGCGTCATCTATAGTTCTCTATGTGAACTGTTTGTTCCAGTTAGGTAAGTAGTTTATGAAAGGAAAGAGAACCATAGATGGCGCTTTACAAATGGTAAGGGTAGATGGCGCCAATAGTGTTTATAATATATTTGGTTTACAACATGCTCCCCCCTTGAAATAGTTAAATATTTCTACTAATAAGTTTAATTAGGTTACAATAAATTAAATCTAAAATAACTTGTGTATTATTAATTTGTTTCAAATAAGCTACTGTACCTGTCCACCTACTCTGACGATTTTTCAATGAAACTCACACAACATAAACATTTATTGTAGTTTCAAAAATAAATATTGGGATGTACTGCTTAATGCAATACAGTTGAGTACTACATAATTATAACGTATGAATTTAAGATACATTTGTTTGAAATAAGTATTACATATTATGAAATATGAATCTAAGTTACAGGTGACCATTCATGTGAGGTGAGTAACTAGGTACAAACTTCCATACAATACCTTGCTCGGTACACGAGGTTGTCAATTCGTTAGAGCTCGTATTAAGAAAATTTTATAACTCCCTTAACTCCCTATCGGCACCCCGGAAGGTGGTGCCGTTGTCGCTCACCATCACTCGTGGCTTCTCGCGTCTGGCTATGAACCTTCTAAACGCCGACATAAAGCTATGAGTTTCTAGACCTGTAACAAGCTTAATATGTACGGCCTTCGTTGAAGAACATATAAAAATGGCTATATAAGACTTGTAAGTTTTGTAACCATGCCCCTGCCTGTCTTTAAGTAGAAATGGACCAGCATAATCTAGTGCCACAGTGTAAAATGGTGGTGCTGGTTGTACTCTGTGACCTGGTAGGTCGCCCATCATAGGCGTTGTTGCCTGTGGCTTGGCTCTGAAGCAAGGTACGCATTCTCTATAAATGTTATTTGCTAAAAGCTTACCCTTGATAGGCCAGTACTGCTCCTTCATGCTAGACAGCAGCAGCTGGGGTCCTGCATGCATGAGGCGGACGTGCTCGTTCCTCATAATTAGCTTAGTTAATGTGTGATTGCTGTGTAGTATGATGGGGTGTTTTTTCTCAAATTCGTAGTGTGATTGACTAAGACGACCTCCCACCCTTATAAGATCATTGTCCATAAATGGTTTAAGACTCAAAAGTTTTGAGGTTTTAGGCAATTGTGAATTATTTTTAAGTAGTTTGTATTCATTAGGAAATGATTCTATTTGTGTAAATATTATTAATTTATTAGCAGCTTGCCTTTGTTCCTGACATAAAATTGCACCTGTAATTTTGTTATTTTTGTTTTTTATATTGTGCAAATATCTTAGTATGTATGCAAATATACGAAATAGCTTAGTGTCACTGGACCACCTTGAAATTAAATAGTTTATGAACGTGCTGTCGTTAGCCCCATTTTGTGTTGTGTTGCATAATGTTTTGTGTGGGGATTGCTTTGCCTTAAGCTCAATTAATTCTAGGGTTTGTTGTTTATTTAGAGGCCACTCACCTTGTGGTTTACTCAGAAATGTTGGACCTTCAAACCAGAATTTAGAGGTAGATGTGCAGTTAACCAATTTGTCTGGTAAAACTCCCCTTGAAAGCAAATCTGCAGGATTTTCATTACTGGGAACCCAACGCCATTTAGACTGGTCTGTTAGAGCTTGAATCTTGGTAACTCTACAAATGTATTGAGCTTATGAGGTTCTGTGTTTATCCACGCTAAAGTGATGGTAGAGTCGGACCAGTACTGAATGTCGTCTATAGGTACTTTGAGTGCTGACTGCACATCTTTCATATTGACTGCCAACAATAACGCCGCACTCAATTCGAGGCGGGATATAGTTTGAGTTTTTAAAGGTGCTACTCTGGTTTTTGCAAATAATAATCGAACTGGAGTTTGGCCTTGTGCATTGGTTGTAAGCACATATATGGCTGCCCCATATGCTTGTGTGGAGCTGTCTGCAAACCCATGTAATTTGAAAGTTATATAATTGCTTATTGTAACTACTCTGGGGATCTGTAACAATCTTAGGTATTGAAGTGAATTGTAAAATGTTAACCAATCCTTTAAAAGAGTTTGTGAAATAGGTTGGTCCCAGTCGGACCCGTCCACCCATAGTCGTTGGATGAAGCATTTGGCAAGAATTAAGCTTGGGCCTAATAGGCCTAAAGGATCAAAGATACTTGAAACTCGAGATAAAATAACTCGTTTTGTTACATTATTTGGTATAGGTTGTAAGTTAATTGAATAATTCAAATTGTCGTTTTTGTTTGACTATTCAAGTCCTGATATTTTGTGTGAGCTATCCCCTGTTTGTCCAAGTTGGACGCCTTGTGGCGTTGTTGTACTTTCTGTTTGTGTAGGTAGTACTTGTTGAATATGTGTTGAATTGGTTTTCCACTTACGTAGATGAAAGTTAGCTGTGCGCAGGACTCTGTCTACCTCCAGGGCGACCTGCGCGATCCTGTGCTCATCGTCACCTGAGAGAAGTAAGTCATCAGCGTAGAACTGCTCCTCGATCGCTGCGGCCGCTGCGGCTGCCACCGACAACTCGGCTGACGACCGTGCTGCATCTGGAAGTTGTTGCAAAGCAGTGCGAGTTTCTTGTGCCAAGTGCAGTAAGCAGCGTTGCAATGTGCGGCGCAGGTTTCAGTCCAAAGCTGAGTGTTGTTAGTTTGAAAGTTTGAAGCTCATGGTGAGGCTCCTCCCTCCACAGAATGCATTGTAGAGGTTGCTGATCAGTATTTATGTGTATGCAACAAAACATTTGTTGTGTCGGCGTTAATTACATATTTGTGCAATCGAAATCGTAATAAAATGTGGTTAAGTGTATCCTGTTTAATTGTGCCCTTGTGCAAAATATCATTTAGAGAATATCCGGACGAGGTTGGACAAGAGGCATCGAAAACTACCCTCAAGAGTGTTGTAGACTTCTCTAGGTTGACAACAGCATGGTGTGGTAAGAAGTTAAGAGGGACGTCCGAGGCAGTACATTTCTCCATGCGCCCTGCTTATTCAAATTCTCGCATAAATTGAGTATACATTTGTTTAAACTCTTTCTGCCTTATTAATAAAAATTGCTTATTCCAAGCTTAATTCGAAGTTACACTTGGACTAGCTAATCTCAGAGTAACTGACTATTTACTTCGTTATTACAATGTTATTAATAAGCATGGAGTAACCTCGGACTAACTATACATTCCTTACGCCGGGATTAAGGCTTGCGCTATGGCAACCCACTTATTTTAAAAGTAAAAAGAGTGAGTCAGTGAATGATTAGTGAATGAATTCAATGCTTGATGATGACATTAATGACAGTGACAGGCAATATTTTGAGTTTGACAAGAGATAAATGTTACGGGTTGTTCCTTGTTCCTCGTGTTGTTTTCGGAATCGGTGGAAAAACTATGTTCTAAATATAATCATTTTTAATATTATTTGTAACGAAATTTTAGAATTAAGAAAAGAGCGTGAAGGGCAAAATTAATTAAATAACCATTTTTGTTTTGTTTTTTGGGGATAAATAAAATCTTTTGTACATGTAATGATTGTATATTTATTTAAAAAAAAACGTTAATAAATTCTGCCCGAACAGAATTTCCTCTAACGGAGTTATTTACTAATTGTGTGACTGATATATTTTCATCATCTCCTTATACTACATCCTCAAGCAGATCTTGCTTTTGCATTGCAATGTATATACTGTTTGTATGCTCTTATTTAGTATTTAGTCCTCGCAGTAAACACCGAAACCTTTGCTTCCCTCCAAAGCATTGTTCTACAGTGTAACGGGGCCACCAGATGTGCGACCGGTTGTACATTCTTCCTTTTGTTTATTAGGATGCAGGATAGGAGTATATAAATAAGAAGTATAAGCAATAACTGACTGCTCAAACATTTGTTTTAATGCGACGATAATTAAATATTCTTGAGTCATGTGTGCTGCCTTGCCAATGTGCCACTGTATCCATGAATTCTAAATTTGCATTTGACACAACCTGGAACAAAGCACTCATAACTTCTTTAATATGAAGTAATAGATTGAGGTGATTGTATTGAATCTGAGAAAATAACTAAGTACCTATACGGCAGAGATGGGCTAGCTAGGTGCTATAAAACTTACTTGTACATTTATTGAACTGTATCCTTTCCTGTTTATGTAGTATTGTCCGATGTTTCCAGCGTCTTTCGGGATTAGAATATGTAGCAATCAATACCCCAATCACTTGTCTAAATCCACATAATGAATAAAAACCTGCAATCACTTTGTTCTGCTCCACATCACTTCTTGGCATTTTAATCCATTATGCTATTTTTGTTACTAGTGCTTACAACTTATGAATACGGGTAACAACGCGCGTGAACATAAAGTTTTACAAAATGTCAAAATACGCGACTAGTCTACGCTTACTCAGTCGTTAAACTAGGTACCGCCAAGGATTAACTTTTATTCCGAGAGTAGATTCGGATTAGTTTACTCCCTCCTTACTCTATGTTTATTAATACTGAAATTAGATATTTTAAGCTTTAAACTAGGAGTAAAGTTAATCTTGCTCAAGTCTGTGTTTATTAATAGGGCTGTAAGTTTTTAGAAAATTTTCTCTCCAATGACAGAAAACATCGTTTAGAAATGTGCTTGGATTCGCCTAAAGAGGTAATAGGTAGTTTGAATGGTAAATTTGCAACAAAGTTGCCCTCAGAGTTGCGGGTGTGCGTCATAAACACTTCCTCGCATTGTTTGTCATCATGGGACAACACTTGTTCGTCGGTGGAGGTGAATGGATTATCACCACATTCCTCCATTTCCCAGAAGTGTTTCAATTGAGTTTTCAATGATAAATTGCATCGTACCTGTGTGGGACTTAGTAAAGACCCTGATACTATCCATCCCAGCTTTGTCTTTTGTAATATAGGATAACTCTCTCCCAGCCTATGCCTTCCAATGCACAATAAGTTGTAAAATAGCTCGGCCCCAATGAGTAAGTCAACCTCACCCGCTGAGGAGAAGTTTTCCTCTGCTAATTTGATGTGAACTTGAATGTTCAAGAATTTAGTTTTAATTATTGATGAATTATAATTTGGTAGGTTACGAATTTGTGGCACAATTAAACAACTCAGTTTTGTTTGAAATTGGCTATCATTTAACTCAATATTGATGTAACAATAATCTTTGATTTTAGTTGAATTATCATTAAAACCTGTCACTTCCATGTTGATATTTCTTTTGGATAGTTTCAACAATTGAAAGGCCTTTTCTGAAATAAAATTGGATTGTGAGCCACTATCTAGTAGTTACCGATGACATTCGACGAGGTATGGATAACAAACAGCTCACTGTGTTGGTATTGCTTGATTTTAGCAATGCGTTTAACACTGTTGATTTTGACATCTTATTGAGTGTGTTACGTTCTATTAACATATCTCCTCCGGTGATTGGCTGGTTTCATAGTTATCTTTACGGCCGACCGCAACGTATTCGCATCGAAGATGAGTTCTCACCTTGGTGCGAATTACGGGCTGGCGTGCCTCAAGGTGGTGTGCTGTCTCCTTTACTTTTTGCTATATTCATTAATTCTATCTCTCAAAATATTACTTCTCTCTATCACATGTATGCAGACGATCTACGAATCTACACTCAGTCAACTCTGTTAAATCTGCCTTCTGCTGTTGCCACCATAAACAATGACTTAGCGGCGATAAACCAGTGGAGTCAGCGTTATGGTCTAAAAATTAATCCGTTCAAGTCCCAGGCTATAGTTATTGGTGGTGGAGGGATGGTCTCCAGAGTTGACTGGAACAACCTACCCGCGGTGACATTAAATGACGTTGTCATACCCTACAGTAAATCTGTAAAAAATCTGGGGATATATCTGGATTCTACCTTGTCGTGGTCGCAGCAGTTAAAACAAGTGAGCAAAAAGGTGTTTGCTACTATGGGTTTACTTCGTCGTTTACGTTCTTTTCTCCCCATTCCCACTAAGATTATGTTAGCACAATCCTTACTTCTCTCTATTCTCGATTATGCGGACGCAAGTTATCTTGATTTGACTGAAGACCAACTGAACAAACTTGAGCGAATTCAAAATATTGCAATTAGGTTCATATTTGGTTAGCGCAAATATGATCATGTATCCGAATTTTTTTTTTATAGAAGAGGGGGCAAACGAGCATGTGGCTCACCTGATGTTAAGTGACTACCGCCGCCCATGATCAACCGCAACACCAGGGGAATTGCAGGTGCGTTGCCGGCCCTTTATAAAGGAGTAAGCTCTTTTCTTGAAGGTCCCCAGGTCGTATCGGTCCGGAAAAATCACCGGTGGTAAATTATTCCACAGAGAGGTTGTACGCGGAAGAAAACTCCTTTTGAAACGTACAGTGGTGGACCGCCAAGCATCCAGATGGTGTGGATGGTATCGGGACGTTTGCCGCGTAGTGCGTTCACGAAATTTGGCGGCTGGGATTAATCCGAACAATTTCTCAGAGCACTCCCCGTGATAGATGCGATAAAATACGCAAAGAGATGGAACATCTCTTCGCAGCGCCAGTGAATCGAGCCAATCGGAAAGCACTCGGTCGTCGACGATTCGAGCCGCTCTGCGCTGGATGCGGTCAAGTGGAAGGAGCTGGTACTGGGGAGCCCCAGCCCAGAGATGGGAACAGTATTCCATGAGCGGCCGAACCTGCGCCTTGTAAAGTTGCAGGCGGTGTGCCGGCATGAAATACTGTCCCGCTCTGCTGAGCACGCCAAGCTTTTTTAGAGGCTAATTTGGCCTTTCCTTCCAAGTGACCACGAAACTGCACGTCACTCGATATGTCGACGCCGAGGATTCCGATACTGGCTGAGGCAACAAGGGGAGTGCCTTGAAACTGAGGGGATACGACAAAGGGGTTCTTTTTAGCTGTTAACGCGCAAACTTGTGTCTTCTGGGGGTTAAACTGGACTAGATTTAGTCGCCCCCAATCCGAGACTCTGTCCAGCAGAGACTCGACTTCAGACACAAGTTTGTCCCGGCACTCAGAGACGTTTTCCCGAGAAATATTGGCTCGGCCGGTGTAAAGAGCATCACCAGTACTGTCATCTGCATAGCAATGAATGCTACGGGAAAACGAATATCGTTTACAGTGGTTACCCATTCGCTTTCGCCGGAATCTGCAAACTGTATCTCTTTTGTACTATGTGTTGTTCAATCCTTTGACTCCAAGCTACTTGAAGGAAAACTTTAAGTTTCTTGGTCATGATCGACCTGATAGAGTTCTTCGGTCAGCCGGCGAACCAATTCCAGAACCATGTTCATTTCGATCAAAATTTATGAAATATTCCTTTACGAGCCAAGCCATAAGGTTATGGAATGAACTCCCATCCAAATTCGACGTGCGCAAACTTTGGATAGTTTCAAAAGTGACGTCAAGAAGCATTACCTAACACTTTGTGGTTATTGATAACTAATTCTAGCAACAGATAGTTTATTCTGTGTTTTTCTTTTCCTCTTTGTTTTGTATTTATTTATTTATTTATTATATATGGATATTTATGTATGTGTATATATTTA